TGACCGAAGAAATAGAGTAGAATTAAAAATAATAATTTTTTATTCAATTCTTTTTCTCCACCAATGTAATTCATTCACACCCGAAGAGAAATTTTTTTTTGGAAAATTAAAGGCCCACCACTTTTTTTTTTTTTAACTTACGAAACCACAAGAGTTTTTCTACCCAGAAAAAAAAGATCATTTTAGTGTATAACTAAAAAAAAATTAAAAACTAAGTAAAAAAAAAGTATGTGGTAAAATCATAACCATTATATGTAGAAGTTTTGGTTAGTTTTTAAATTATAATTTTTTTTTTATGTTATTTTTGCCAATTTCCCAAAAAAAAAACGCGTGACAACAATAAAAATGAAAGTGTTTGAGACTCACTAAGTTTCTTCTATTTTTTCTAGGTATAATGGTGAGACTCAATTAGTTTCAACTAATCTAGAAAACCATAATTCATCAACTTACATAACCATTTCCTCCCAAAACCGGTTTCTGCATTCAAGATAAAACAATCTCATGAGTGTCTAACTGAGAAACAGCCAAATGATATCACTAAATTGAAAAACAAATACAAACAGAGAGTGAACCAAAGAGCACTCTCAACAACTACACAAACATGTGTTTAACTCTTGTTCTCAAGAGATATGAAACTGCCACCCCTGAAAAATGTTGCACCGTAAGTCAAAGAGGATGGGAACAAGAAATATAAACATTACAGATCGTGTGGAAAGGTAGTGTATACCTAATGAAATATGATAAAGACACATTTGTGCATCTTTTTCACTGCAAAAAAAGAAGTAAAATGCTGTTAAAAGCTGAAGGATGCAATATCTCCTCCAAGGCATAATCAAAACAAAGACACTCACTTATACAAAACCTTACATTGCAATTGAACACAATGAGACAAATCATTCAGAAATGTGTACCATAACAAGTTGTTCCTGAGGGTTTAAAGCCATTGACTCATCCTACATAGAAGAGGACTTGTTCAAATACGGATGCTCCTGCAATTGATTGTTGCATAGAGATTGAATAATACCACACAACCACAAGATACATAAACAAAATAATACCACACAACCACAAGCCATTGACTCAATTTCCGTTCTTCTCCCACCAACATCTTCACTTTAATCTCCTCTTTCCTCCACGCCTTTTTCCAGTAATAAGCTTCTCTGCAACACACACCCATCATATATCCATGCACTTGATGGTGGACTAAGAATGGTGATAAAGAACCAATTGTTTCAAACATCAGGGACTGTAATGGTGAGTACAAGACCTACACTTGCCAAACTTATACATGTACAAAACGTAAGCAGAGCAGCTTGTCCTCTACTTGGAACCATCTTTCCTTCAAACCTTATTATTCAAAATCCAAACAACAATATCAGTAAATAAACTAAAAACCCATATACAAAAAAAAAAAATCCGAATTTGTGTTCTTAATCATCATCTTACGTGATTGTTTCTCCTCGATCAGTAATGTTGAAATTCTTTCTTGTGAAGAAAGATAGAATCTCTCCAGCAACGTGCTTTGGTTCTTTCTTGATTCATTCTCCTTCACTAACAACTAACGTCTTTCCCATCACTTTAATGTCACAAATTGGATTAAAGCTTTAGAATTGGGAGTAAAATTAGGGTTTTGGAATTAGGAAAAAAGTTGGAACCTTTGATTTAACAGAGCGTTTGATGAGAGACCAAATACATCGTTAAGGAACAAGACAGAGACGAGAGGGGAATCTGACGATCAAGACAGAGGAATTACAATCACCATACGAAGGAAGAAGATAGACTTGAGAGGAGAATCGGCGACGAGTAGCTCCGACAACGATCAAGAGAGGGAGGAGGAGGAGAATCGCCTTTCTCTTCGACGAAGACTTTCGCGACACAAATCGCTATGTCCACTAACTTGCCGACGCATGGCAGTGTTGATACGTCTCACCCGTCTCATTGCACTGATACGTCTCACCCATTTTTTTGTAAATAATTAGCTTTTTATATTTTTTTAAACCTTTTAATCATAAAGAACCGGTGATTGTTTCACCGATAAAGATGGTCTAAATGAGAGGAAAAATAGTTCTTCTCTCTTGCAGACCAATCACATCCTAACATCTTGAAACTTACTTGATAGTGTGTGTATATTAGTCAAACTTCAAATAAAAGAATAATTATAGTGTAAAGGGACGCAATAGTGTAAATGTAAAGATTAAAAGGGGAGATTATTAACTATTATTACAATTCAAGAACAGAAGAAAATGTGTTTACTTTCACGCTACAATAACTGAAGATAGTGGTGTCGATATCTATTGATGTGAAAACAGAAAAAAGTGGTGTCGGTATCTCTGAAATAATTGCGTATTAGCACTGTTTATTATCCCTAAAGGCACAAATTGTTCCTTACTTTTAGTTATATAATACTATGTTTGAATAATTATCAAGAACACTCAACTTTTTATAACAATTACAAGTAATTTTTACAAACTTTTAGAATACAAAGATTGGTTTAAAAAAAAAAGTATATTAATAATTACTTGAATGCAGTGTCCTGCTAGGATTTCTAGAAGCATGTGGCAAAAAAAAAAAAAATGAGACCCTTTAATTATAATTTTTTAGTGGTAGTTTTAAGCAATAGAAGTTATTGAAAAGAACAATAATAAACAAACTCTAAAACCAATATAAAAAAAAGTATAACACATTTACATAAAAAAATAAATCTATCACATAAACTTTAATTTTTTTTGTTTGAACTTTTTCACCAAACTCTCGTAATTGATCTGTCGAACTGACTCCCTTTTTATAGATATGATAGCAAAAGATGAGTAGCAAAATGTTGGTGTTTATCATGAAAACTCATGGATATCAA